GCACTTGGGCCCAAAAACATTCACCGCCACTGGCATAGCCCATAGCTCCTTTGAATTACTCAAGCCCCTTCGCCATGACAAGGCAGCAATCCATGAAGGGCTTTGTATAAGTATAAGGAATACTTACACCTATCCTAATACCAGAGATTTCTGAGGCAGCTGACTATATAAATTTACATTACACCAAACAAGTTATTTTCCTACTAAAGTTTTCTACAAGTCTCCGTTCTTCAGATGTCACAACTGCATCTGTGATTCTGAACCTCTGGCCCACAGCAGAACTTGGAGTCTGTCGAAGAAGAGCCCATTTTAGTTCTGTTCATAAAGTGTTTTCCCCATTAGCTTGCTCACAACCTTTTCTTTTGAAGAGAGGGAACTTCCCCTTAAGCAGTATAAACTTTATCTGATTGTGGGTTTTTCAGATATATTTCTATAAAGAGAAGCTCAATCTTTTGGTTGGTTGGGAATCTAGTCGTGCTGGCCACGTGACCACGGAAACTGTCTACGGACGAATGGCTCTATGACTTGGAGATGGGGATGAGCACCACACCCTAGAGTTGGACACAAGTGGACTAAATGTCAAGGGGAACCTTTACCTTACTTGGAAGGGGAAAATGGGAGACACAGATCCTGTAGTGGTTCTTTCAAAGGGAAGTTAAGAGGGTGGTGAGTGGATTTCTTTAAGGTGATAATAAACAATGGTTGCAAAGCAGCTTTCCCCAAGCTGGCACCCTGTATTGGACTAATTCCCATCAGTCTCAGTTAGCATAGGTAGTGGCAGTAGACATAATCCAACATGTGGAGATTAAGGGACAGAGAAAGCAACTTGTGTACTTTTAAGTAGCAGCACTTCCACACAAAACATGTTTATTTAATAAATAGCTAGGGGCCTGGCTGTCTAAGGGACTCCCTGTATCATTATGAGCCTTTTCCAACATTAAGATCTCCAAAAGAGGCCCTCTAAAAAATATCAAGTTTCAGAGGTCCATCTAACAAGTTCACAGGAAAGGGCATGCTTCTGTGCATCTCCCAGAGTATTGACTGCACTCCCTTCTGAATTGTGATGTGTTTCCACTCTGAATGTTTTTAAGAAGGGAGTAAAAACATTTTTAGACTGGCTCCATGTCTTTTAAATTAAGCTCTGTTTCCAATAAATCAAGGGATGGCCCTTCTTCCAAGCTAACCAAATATGGGGGCGAGAAAGTGGCACCACAGAGAACATGCCATCTCTCTGGAGCTACAGAACATAATTGTATTGTATTAAGGAAATCTTATTTTTGAAATTTCTTCAAGAGTTAACATCTTGCAATCCTCTGCATCACTATCACTCCCATAGGAAGGGACAATACCTCACTGATAAAACACTCTTGTGCCTGTGTAAGGGCCCAATTCCTGCCATATCCAGATAGGAATCGATGTAGTGGCTTTCACTGATCATCACTGTATAAAATAGCCCAGCAAGATACTGATACCAATGTAATTGGTCTTATTAATGAGTACCAAAAGTCTGTCTTTCAGTGTTAGGAACAGTTTTCTTGGAGCTGTGACCCTGTCTGCTGAATAGTCACTGAGGCAGTAAATTGGAGTCTGTGCTTTTATCACTTGAAGTAAAAACTGGCATGATTGAATAATCCTACATACAAACATTGTTTCTATACAGAAAAGTGTCAGGAGAGGGGAGTGGGGTATCCAGTCTGCCACACATCCTCACATACTAATTTCCAGAGCACAGGACATTTTTAACACTCAGTCATGGGAACCTCAATTCTTAGGTCAACTCATAGGTTTACCATCTCAAAGTCACTCTTACTATAGTAAAGGTTCCCCTTGACAATTTTTGTCCAGTGGTGTTTGACTCTAGGGGGCGGTGCTCATCCCCGTTTCCAAGCCATAGAGCCAGCGTTTTGTCTGAAGACAATCCTCCATGGTCACGTGGCCAGTGCAACTTAGACATGGAACACTGTTACCTTCCCACCGAGGTGGTCCCTATTTATCTACTCGCATTTGCATGCTTTCGAACCACTAGGTTGGCGGGAGCTGGGACAAGCGACGGGCGCTCACTCCGTCATGTGGACTCGATCATACAGCTGAAGATCTACAGACCTTACCACACAGAGGCTTCTGTGGTTTAACTCGCAGCTCCACCACACATCCGTCACTTACTATAGTCACCCTTAAAAACAAATTTGCACGAACAGTATAAAGCAGGGATAGGGCACCTGTGACCCTCCAGATATTGAGCTAGCGTTGTGCCAGCCCACTTGTTGCGCTGCTAACTAGGGCTGATGGGAGTTGAAATCCAGTAACATGGAAAAATCAGGTTTACCACCTTTGCTGCAAATGGTGCTATTTTTTAGAACAGTGTGGAAACAGTGCAGAACTGCAGATAATGCTGGACTGCATCTCCCTGCATTTTTCTCCATTATGTATTTTGGCTATGGCTGATGTGAGTTACAGTCCAACATCTGGAGGCCTTCACTTTGTATATCTTTGTCTTAACCTATTTTGCAGGTACCTTAATGTTGTACTATATATACGGTATCTTCTTTCTTACTGGGTCTTCTGGCATGTTTTATTCAGAGATGAACATGGTTATGGAAAATACATGTTGGAAATACTATAACAACACTGTAGTGCAACATATGAACAATACCTGCCAAGGGCAGTTTCAGATATGTTTCCATCTCTTCATGGCAAGACTGAAAGTCCGCAAAAGCCTCTTACTAGTAATGGCTAGGGACATTCAAATACCTGTATTGCTATACATGCAGTGCTCCTCCCCCAACTTCAAAAGGTACACAGCACAGTTGATACCATGTTTTCCATGGCAAACCAGTATGTAATACATTTACACTTGGCATGCACATAGTATGAGCAAAAGTTGCTGACAAGGAGTAGCATTAAAGGGGAAGACACTAGATGGCAGTTCACCAATATTAAAGGGAGTTGGTGAATTGGGACTTGCCAACCAGATGTTCAACTTCTGTTCCCATTGCCTTGGACTACTGGCAATGCTGGCTGGGACATCTGGAGCAGCACACGTCCCCCAGGTTTCCTGGTAACAGAATATTATGTAGGTATGGCTGCACAAAGAAAGGGATAGCACAGTGGCTCCCAACCTGGGGGTCGCAACTAGAGATGGGGATATTTCTATACAAATTTGAATATCTCCGCACAGATGGAAATAACATGGGGCTGGACTGTCCAGTCACGATTTTGCCACTGAAGCCAGCTCGTTGGACCTTCCCATCACACAGTTGTCCGCAATCGATTAGCCAGTCCTGGCAGGAGATGGGATGACAAGTCTCTCTGCTAGGTTGGAGAGTGGCTAATCCATTGCAGAGAACAGCACAATAGGAAGCCTCCATGGAGCCAGCGGCCAGACCTTCATTATTGCTACCTGTGTGGGGATATTTGTATACGAATTTCGTTATTGCTACCTGTGCGGGGATATTTGTACATGAATACCCCCATCTCCAGTCGTGACTCCCAAGAGAGTCCCTGGTGGGTCATGGGTCAACTTGGAAGTGTTGGAGCACTTATTAAATAATTTCTCGTGACTCCCAAGAGAATCCCTGGTGGGTCATGGGTCAACTTGTAAGTGTTGGAGCACTTATTAAATAATTTCTTCCCTGACCTTTCAGAATGGGATGTTAAAGTTATTATGTATAGTGGTGCCTCGCTTAACAGGCGCCCCGTTTAACGATGAATCCGCATAGCAACGAACTTTTTGTCATCGTTTTTGCGATCGCATTGCAATGTTTTTAATGAGAAAACGCTTTGCTTCATTTTTGCGATCGCATTGTGATGTTTTTAATGGGAAAAATCGCTTTGCGATGATCGGTACCGTTTCGCATACCGATCATCGCATAGCGATGATTTGCCAACAGCTGATCGGCGGTTCCAAAATGGATGCCGGTAAACAAAATGGCCGCCCGCTGTTTCCGCCCGGATTCCTCGCTTACCAGGCAGCAAAAATGGCGGCCATATGGAGGATTTTCGCTTAAAGGTGAGTTTTAAGCCCATAGGAACGCATTGAAGGGGTTTCAATGCATTCCTATGGGCTTTTTATTTTCGCAGTGTGACGAAATCGCTTTGCAGCGATTTTAGCTGCATGGATTATCATCGCTATGTGGGGCACCACTGTATATGTATGAGAAACAGGCCACTTGGGGGGTGATGACTTTACCCAATTACAGTGGTGCCTCGCATTACGAGCGCTCCGTTTTACGACAAAATCGCTTTACGTTGAAGGTTTTGCAATTGCAAAATGATGTTTCCTATGGGGGAATTTTGCTTTGTGATGATTGGTTCCCTGCTTTGGCATCCGATTCTCACAAGTGATGATTTTCGGCCAGCTGATCAGCAGTTTCAAAATAGCCACCGGGTAAAAAACATGGCTCCCCGCTCTTTTCTGGGACTGATTCTTCGCTGCACAGGCAGCGAAAATGGCCACGCTATGGAGGATCTTTGCTGGACGGTGAGTTTCAAGCCCCTAGGAATGCATTAATC